GTGCCTTTCCCGATGGATTGCAACTTTGGTGTTCTTCCCAGCAAGCCAGAGCCTTTCTTCGGAACCACCCTGCTTCCAGATCCACAGCTTGATCCAGTGCCACTTGGAAAACGATTCTTCCACTTTGGAGCAAATAAACAAAAATCAGCATTTCATCTTCCTGCCCTGCCCTGGCAGCCCTCTTGCCCAATGCTGCCCTCTGCTGGGGATGCCAGTGTTTGCATGGAGAAGCAGCACAAGATGATTTCAATCAGGGAGGGTGGGAACTATGGGCCCTTTGTGACTTCCGGGACTTCCAACTCTTTCGGTTTTCCCTTCTTGCAAAATATGTTGACCTTCAGCTCACCCTTCCATCCTGGAGTAGCCTCCCATACACTAATCAACCTGTTTCTATCCTGCTTTGCTTCGCAAAATTACTCTGTGCCAGCTGCAATCAGGTGTTGACTCCTAGATTTTTGGTGGTTGTTGTTAGTCGAGAAGTCATGTCCGACCCACCGCGACCCCCTGGACCACGTTCCTCCATGGCTTCCTGTCTTCTCCCATCTTCTGGAGTCCATTGAAGCTCATGCTGGCTGCTTGGGTGACTCCATCCAGCCACCTCCTTCTCTGCCGTCCCCTTCTTCTTCTTTTGCCNAAGAAGAAGAAGGGGACGGCAGAGACGGAGGTGGCTGGATGGAGTCACTGAAGTAGCCGGCGTGAGCTTCAATGGACTCCGGAGGATGGGAGAGGATAGGAGGGCCTGGAGGAACGTGGTCCATGGGGTCACCATAGGTCGGACACGACTTTGCAACTAACAACATTCTGACAGTAACAACAATTAATCAATGGAAGAGAAGTTGTTGGTGCTCCATCACTGGAGTTCTTCAAGAAGAGGTTGGACAACCATTTGATGGTATGGTATTCATTCTCCTGCTTGAGGAGGGGGCTGGACTAGAAGATCCTGCAAGACCAGTCAATCATTATGAAGCTGGTAGGGACCTTGGAGGTCTCCTAGTCCAACCCTCCAGAATATGGAACATGGAACATGTTCAGAGAGATCTATTGTTGGCTCACTGTGACCCTTCAGGCTAACTGTTGCAACAGGGACTCAACGAAAGTTGAGTAGTAGTGTTCCAAAATGTGTAACCTTCATGCATCCACAATTAATCAGTGGAACAACCTGCCACCAGAAGTTGTAGGTGCTCCAACACTGAAGGTTTTCAAGAAGAGATTGGACAACATTCAGTCTGAAATGGTATTTGGTGTCCTGTTGGAGCAGGGGGTTGGACTAGAAGACCTCCAAGGTCCCTTCCGACTCTTCTTATTCCGTTATTCTATTCTGTTATTCTGAAAAAAAAGTGACTTATTCTGTTACATGTGGTGAAGCCAGCCATATTCCGTTGGGAAAGAGATTGGTGTTTCCTGGAGAAAGTAAGTGTGTGTGTGTGTGTGTGTGTGTCTTTGAATTCTCCAGATGGCAGCCTTTGACTCAGCTGGTGTAGCTGTGTGTTGCCAGACCACAAGTACGGCAATTTGACTGGCTGAATGAATAGGCTGTAAGAGTTGTATTCATGCAACCTGCATGCCACAATTAACTAAATTAGGCAGCTGACTGCAATTGCACAACGGACCGAACAATAAACTAACCGTACCAACTGGATTCACACACACAGACACACACAGACACACACACACACCCTGAGCTCCCTCTTAGCCAAGTGGGATGTGCAAACCCAGCCTTTTCATTGGTCAGCCGAGCCTCTGGGACCCGTGTCCGATGCTCCAGGCCATACCAGTGAGGAGGTCTGTAACGGAGCGGATAGAGTCCAATTTTGAACATTTCAACCACACAAAACCGCCAGAGGAGTTTCTCTGCAGAGGCCCAGCAAATCTTCATATCATGCCAGGCACCATCATGTTAGAGCATTTTCTCTCTTCTAGATACTCCACCCCTCCTGCAAAACATTTTCTTTTTTAATTTCTCTCCTCCAACTGACATTTGGAGAGCCTTCTCTGTGGCTGCTCCAACCCTCTGGAACGAACTCCCCGTGGAGATTCGAACCCTCACCACCCTCCAGGCCTTCCGCAAAGCCCTTAAAACCTGGCTGTTCGGACAGGCCTGGGGCTAAAGACTTGCAGCCCCACTCGAATGGTATGACTGTCGTGTATTTTTAAATTATGTATTGTTATGTTTTTGTTTTTATTTTTTGTCTGTTCCCCCCTTCCTCGATTTG